TGTGAGTGTGTGTGTGTGAGAGAGAGTGTGTGTGAGTGTGAGTGTCAGAGTGTGTGTGAGTGTGAGTGTCAGAGTGTGTGAGTGTCAGTGTGTGTGTGTGAGAGTGAGTGAATGTGTGTGTGTGTGTGTGTGTGTGCACACTTGGATGGATTAAAAAGAGCAGTCTGAGTTCCAGCGAGGGTCACGTTACACAGATTTACTCTGAAAGCAGAAGTGAGTCCATGTGCAGAGGAAGAATGCAATGATTTCATCATGAACTGTGTGTGTGTGTGTGAGTGTGAGTGTGTGTGTCAGAGTGTGTGAGTGTCAGTGTGTGTGTGTGTGAGAGTGAGTGAATGTGTGTGTGTGTGTGTGTGTGTGTGTGTGTGCGCACTTGGATGGATTAAATGCAGAGCACTAATTCCATGTCTGAAATGGTCAGATCATCGTTGTCCCCCGATAGCGTCTGTGGCGTAGCACTCCGAGCAAGATGCTCCTGTCCGCTGTTCACTGGGTCCTTCGGCGGACTTTGTTCTGTCTCTACACAGGAAAGCGACAGGCCAGATCCTGCAACATGGGGGAGTTGGTGGGCTGGAGTTAGTTCAGGAACCTGGTCTGATAAGACACTCTGAGCCTGGGAAGGAGATGCTTGATTTACGAGAGTGGGGTTTTCCTGACTATCAGAGCTCATGGTGTTCACAGCGCAAGAGGAGATCTCACTGTCCTCATGGCCGTCGGATTGTGTAGCCTCTTCTCCCTCAGAGATAGGCGAATGAAGCTCGACGCGATGCTTCTTCTTTGGTTTCCGGACTTCCCTCAATCCACGGTACCTGCCGTAAGTCACTACAGGAGGACAGGCTAGATCATACCGCCTCTTGTCCTCCAAGCTCTCTTTGGCATCGATGTTTACGGCATCACTTCTGTCTTCCTCAGTCTGCTCCTTTGAACTGTGGAGGGAAAACAGAAGAAAGATGAAATAAAGCTTGTATGTTAGGATATACAACTTAACACTCAAGATCCATTAATTAACGCTTGAAGCACGGTGTCATATGGCTGTTATGTAAAAGCAGGAAGTTAAACAACAGTTCCAGAACATTCTCATGAAATATTCATAAGCAGCATCTACACAAAAGCACCTAGTGCCTGTAGGCGCAGTACAGAAAGCCCTCACACCATTCGTCTCATGTGACAAAACATCCAGAAAGCACTGCTGATGTACACAGTCAGAGAAACAGCAGACAAGCAGCTCAGAAGATGCTGATGAAGATGATGACTGAAGGTCAAGGTCAAATAATGCAAAAAATACAAGGCTAACTCAATTGAGATTTAATACAGAACAAGCAAATGATAATCCAGGTGTGAATAACTTGTTGCATCTTTCCCAAAAAGACTCATGGCTTTATTAGATCAAAAGGGTGCTTCTACTAAATACTGAGCAAAGGGTCTGAATACTTAGGACCATGTGATATTTCAGTTTTTCTTTTTTAATAAATCTGCAAAAATGTCAACAATTCTGTGTTTTTCTGTCAATATGGGGTGCTGTGTGTACATTAATGAGGAAAAAAACTTAACTTAAATGATTTTAGCAAATGGCTGCAATTTAACAAAGAGTGAAAAATGTAAGGGGGTCTGAATACTTTCCGTACCCACTGTAACTATTCATATGGAGTTTGTAAAAATACCACTAGCAGCAATAAACAGAATCACTATAATTAGCCTAAATAATAATCGCAATAAAAAACACTTCCCAAATGCCCAACCAAACACACACGAGCTAGATCTCGGATCAAACGTTCAGTATTTCCTATGTCATGTTTTGAGGGCAGATTCTTCTGCTCTACCCCTCATCTGCCATTGGTCAGTCATAGGCGCGCAGATGGCACTAGGGACGGGGGGACATGACCCCCCCAGATTCATAGTGACCCGATCTGTCCCCCTCACTGTCTCTAAGAAAGGCGACATCGGTAAACCGAGGATTAATCAGGGTTTCCGCTATGTACATTAGCCTAAGTAGTGGCGGCCCAGCCCGCCGCTCCTTAAACGTGCACTTAGGTGCACACATGCGATATTTGAAAAACGGTTTTGACCGCAGTGTCTGACCGAGTTTCAAAACACTTGTAGCCAATCAGCAGTAAGGGGGTGTGTCTTGTACAGATAGACTGTGTGTTCCAAACGGGATATATCGCCCTCCGAAGCGCACTTCAGAGTGAAGCACAAATGTCAGGGCATGTCAAAACTTTTCCAGGCCCCAAAACACTCTCGACCCCAGAGTACTTTTCACTATACATTTTACGGGTAGCTTGAATGTAAAACATTGTCATGAATTTGTTGTATTCCCATTTGTAAAATAGCCAACAAATTAATTGATGTAGTCTAAACCGATCTCATGAAAGTGCATATAGAACGATTTTCTGCTTCTACTTGGCGTAATATTTATATGCAGAAATTGACTTTGGCATGCAAAAGACTGAAATTCATAATTAACGACAGAAATACGGGACACACAGGCAGATGGCACTAACGGGGGACATGACGCCCCCAGATTCATAGTGACCCGATCCGTCCCCCTCACCGTCTCTACGAAAGGCGACATCGGTAAACAGAGGATTAATCAGGGTTTCCGCTATGTACATTAGCCTAAGTAGTGGCGGCCCAGCCCGCCGCTCCTTAAACGTGCACTTAGGTGCACACATGCGATATTTGAAAAACGGTTTTGACCGCAGTGTCTGACCGAGTTTCAAAACACACTTGTAGCCAATCAGCAGTAAGGGGGTGTGTCTTGTACTGATAGACTGTGTGTTCCAAACGGGATATATCGCCCTCCGAAGCGCACTTCAGAGTGAAAACAATCATGGCCACCATATTGAAGGGTCGTTCCAAACCGAAGTGCTCAAAACTGGCCACTTCGGAATGAAGGATTTCGAAGGGCACAACTGATGGACACTTCGGGCTCCCATGATCCTTTGCATGATGATGGCGCCTCTGTGTGGACACGTGATGATGACGCAGAAGGGCACTTCAAGAAACAGTTGTTTGGTCCCCTACACCCTTCAACCCTTCGAAGCTCTCACTCCGGAGGGTAAACCCTTTGAAGGGATTAAGGCATAGGGATGAGCCCTTCCGAATGGAATGCAGGGAGAGAGAAGAGAGCGCTTAATTTGAGTGCACAGGACGGATATTAGCAGATCGACTATAGATAGAGAGAGATGGCAGATAAAAGAGGAAAATATCAGAGAAACAAAACATTAAAAAGAAGGGTTACGATCAGGCAAGAGGTAGGACCCGCGTAAATATCGGAGCAGCTTCCCAGCGGTGGAGAGAAACTCAAGGAGCGGGAAGGGCTCGAATCGGACGCCAAGGTTGTGCTGTTTCTTTTTGATAGGTGAGTAACGTTGACTTTGCTTTGTTTCACACAACTTATCCGTCTTGGCTTTTGTTTGAATATGCTTGTGTGTCATCTTCACTTGTTTCTGCGATCGTCATTGCCATGGTTGCGTACGTACGTGTGGGGCGGAGATTTCAAAATGGTTCCAAACAGCTCTGCGCTGTCAATCTGTTTGAATGGGTTTAAGTAGGATAGACAGCAGTTTCACTATATTTGCAGCAATTTCTAGTGATTCTTAACACATCATGTGCATTGATTGTGTATTGATAACTACGCTGACTATATTTTACAACCGCATTTTATTCTGGGGAGTGATCAAGAGACAGCATTAATATTTTTTTCTAATATGCTTAATTTATATTACAATTAGCGTAGTATTTAGGGTTCAAATGGAGAAAATGTTTTTAAATTCCAGTGCAAAGAGGTAAATTAGAGGCGTTTGGTGGCCAGAAAAATAATATTCCTATGTAAACCCATGGTTTAACCACTAGATGCCCGTATGGCTGTTTAATAAATATAGCCTACATCAGGGGTGCCCAACCCTGCTCCTGGCGATCGACTGTCCAGCAAAGTTTAGCTCCAACTCTAATCAAAGACACCTGCCTTTAATTTTTAAGTGATCCTGAAGACCCTAATTAGTTGCTTCAGGTGTGTTTGATTATTGTTGGAGCTGAACTTTGCAGGACAGTCGATCGCCAGGAGCAAGGTTGGGCACCCCTGGCCTACATATATTTAGCTCTATTCTAGTTGCTGTAAAGACTTTTACCTGTCATAATAGCTTATTTATTTATTTAATGTTTTGCATTGTATATTTAGACATTATCAAACACTCAATGTTTATCAGTTTAGCTTTTTTTAATGTTGAATTTAAAAAGATTAATTACTCACATGCCAGTATTATTTTATGACATTTATGTAAGAAGACAATATAAGTGAATGTTAAAAAAGGCCAGCAAATATGGAATTTAACCTAATAAAAAATTTAAATAACGTTAAAAAAAACAAACAAAAAAAGGCAATCAACTGCATTCCGAAACTCTTTCTTGTTTTCCTTTAATGGGCAGTCTTCACTGAAACTCATTCAACTTCCTACAGGGAGAGAAAGATTGCAGAAAGAATAAAAACTTAAAAATATGACCACTAGCATCTGGTTATGATCGCTATTAAGATGTTTCTCATGTTATCTAACTGCAAATATAGCATAACTGCCTATTATCTAAAACTAAACATTAACTATAACGCGTTTCATAAAATACAACTACTGGACAGATTTCCGAGAGGTAAACTAATGCATTAAAATGCCAAAAACTGCTGTAATTTCCTCAACTTTCTGGCGAGGGTGCTTGAGAAGCACTGAAATGCATGAGCTTCAATACTGGAACTATTGGCTGCTCCATGACCAAGCGGCAACCTCCCGCTCTCTCGTGAAACCAACACGGAAGTGACTAAAACTGCAATTCACAACTCTGCTGATCACAGATTGGCCGGAGAGAATCGTCACTACCTGCGTCACTGAACTTGCGACACAAACACAACAGAACCGCTAGATTTAAATCAGCACAGCCTGCGAAGGATCGAACGCAACTGTTTTGAACAAGCGCACCTTTTTTTAACAACCAAAAAGTGGCTGTTCCCCATGTTGAGGAAGTACAGACGTTCCTCTCGTTGATAGCAGAGGACGGATCCAGCGAGAGCTTGATGGGGCGACGCGGAATGAAAAAGTTTTTTTTAGGAGTCGTGGTAGTAGAGGCGGCGCAACTATAACCACATGTGAATAATCCCGCCCACTCTAAAGCGGTACTGAACTGCAGTGGAAACAAACCGTGCCGAGCCGAACCGAACCGTACCGTACCGAGCCGAGTCGTACCACGCAGTGGATTAGCGCCAATAGACTCCATGTTAAAATGGCCAACTTTACAGCAGAAAAAAACATGTTTACAGCCTAAAAAACATGTTTTCAGCCTGGTACAAAAAGTGGTTTTGGTCTATATAGCTAATTTTGCCCTTCATGACAACTGTGAGGGGGGTGAATTTTTTTATAACTCATCCGTTTAAATTATATTAAGCCTTAAAGTTCTGCATAATTAAGGGCATGGCCTTTTGAGTGGCAGGTGGATTGCCGCTGCGGTCACCAGCGTCGCGCTAGGTGGGCGTGGTTTCAGCAACCTGCTCCCGCCTCCTTGCCCATTTTCGATTATCCAGGAGTGACGCGCTGCCAAGATGGCGTTCGATTATCCGGGAGTGATGCGCTGCCAAGATGGCGACGGCCGGCTCCACCCACTTTGAGCTTCAAAAACGCTCTTCAGAAACCAACGGGTGACGTCACGGATACTACGTCCATGTTTTTATACAGTCTATGTCCATGACACGCTTTACTTCCGCATTCCTCAGTTTCTATGGAAGCCTATGGGAGTGTCACAACTCTGTTTCTCAACGGCTCTGGGGAGGTCCTGTTGGGGTATGGGCGTGTTTGTTTTGGTGCTTTCAAATATCAACATCGTTTGGCAAAAATCGCTTAGTGTACCTTTAATTATTGCCGCCACTGCTTCAGGATCGGGTCGG